TGAGAAACTAAACCGATTAGTAAAATGTTTATTGAGATCATAATTCAAAAGAGCACAATAGTTGTTTTCCTGTGGACCCCTACAGAGCTCTTTTTGACACCAAAAGAGTAGCAATACCTTAGGAAGAATGCATTTTTAATGCTTTTCCACACTGGTTTCACTTTTCAAACCTGTAACATCCATCTTGTATATGCAGTCCCAAACCATGGGCTTATTTACTTGTTTACTTAGAAACACACACAACTATAATCACAGATACTTAGAAAAGTGCCATTAGTCAACATTAGTCAAAATAGGCAAACAAATTTATTAAAACTACATTTGAATAATTAAATAAAGCAACATCATTTTTCTTTACATTTTGAACTCGATGCCTGTCTGACGGTGTTTGTTGCTCAGCTCTGTGTAATTGGACTAACAACTCCTATAAACCTAAACTGGAAATTTAATGAGAAACAATTCATCATGCAATACAGCTGGCCTGTCACAAAAGGTAATTTATTGACCACAGCGGTGTTGTATCTGATTCTTTTAGGAAACATATTGCTTGCCTTGTAAGAATAATGATACCTGCTTCCCTTTTCTGGGAAACTGGCAGATAGGCCTCATGGTGTTTTTTGTTGTGAAGTAAATGTATTCAGTAATGTATTGTGGTGGAAATTAGACTCATTGAATAGTCTGCCTGAGCCAGCAAAAATATTTATGGTGTCAAACGTATAGTGCTACTCAGTGAAGTGGCAGGAATATTTCAAGAGGGCAGAGCCATCGTGATTGTGTTTTTGTTCATTTGCATCACTATATATGCAGGACTTGGACAAAATAATTGGCATCTCACAATATTGTCCACAGCAAGAATCATACAATATAAGCAATACTTTTTTTTATTGCCTTGATTACCCTAGGACTGATTGTCTTATTCTTTTCTAATTGAAAACAGCTGTGTTAAAATTACTGCTGATAATTTCCCAGTGTGCTTTCAATGTGCTGCCATTCATCTTCTCATCAGAAAAGCACCCCGTCCTTCTGTGCTGAACAACCCATATCTTATTTATCTTAGCCATGGAAAACATGCTGTGAGTAAGCTCATTTTGATTGTTATTAAAAAAAAAACGTTCTTGTCATTCTATCATAAAAGGCTGGCTTCAAAGGTTAGTTATCCAGTTTTCTTCCTATATGTGAGAATCTGAGTGATACTGTTGGTCGATGAGTTGGTCTACCACTTTAGGTGAGACTGAAGTATCCCACAGTTATTGGATGGTTTTCCAATTAAATCTTGCATAGACATTCAAGCGTGGATGTGCAGTCAGTTTGAGCAAGGCCAGTGAAATGTAAAAAACATTACTTAAAACATACCATAGCGAATGGAATCCTTCTCCTTACCTCTTAAGGTTTTTGTCCATAAATCAAATCAAGAAAGACCAAACTTAATTGTCACTCTTACATGTTTCAGATCATCAAACACATTTTAATGTTAGACAGAGATAACTTGAGAAAGATAACCCAAAATGTGGTTTTTAATTTACGATTTCATTTATTAATGGAAAAAATCTATCCAAACCTACCTGCCCCTGTGTGAAAAAAGCACAATATTATTGGAAAGCTGAGTTCAGTTTCACGAGCACAAGCAGGCCTGATTATTGCAAGACTTTCTGAATCAAGAAATCACTTAAATAGACCTGTCTGACAAAGTGAGGTAGGCTAAAAGCAACACATGCCACGATCTAAAGAAACAGATGAGAAACACGACTATTGACAGCTATCAGTCTGGAAAGGGTTACAGAGCCATTTATAAGGCTTTGGGACTCCACTAAACCACAATGACAGCCATTATCCACAAACAGAGGAAACTTGGAACATGATGAACCTTCTCAGTAGTGGTCGTCTTGCTAAAATTACAGGAGGTCACAAAACTCAGAACAGCAAGATCTGCGGGCCTCATTTGCCTATTTTTGTCATCTTTGTCTAATATTAAAATATGTCTGATGATTTAATAATAATGTATACTTTACTGATCCCGTGGGGAATTACTCTCTCTGCATTTGAGACATTCACTCTGTGAAGCAGTGGGCAGCCACTAAGTGGGCACCCGGGGAGCAGTGTGTAGGGATGGTACCTTGCTCAGGGGTACCTCAGGGTAGCCGTTCAGTGGATTCGAACCCCATACCTTCCGACCATGGGGCGACCACGCCACCTACTGAGCATTTTCCCATAACCATCTTGGTATTTTGATAGCACATGTCTTTTGACCATATGTGACGCCATGTCCACACTAATACGTTTTTGTTTGAAAACGCATCTTTTTGGCCTTCCGTCCACTATGAGACGGCGTTTTTGGTCAAAGAAAACTGAGCTTTTTGAAAGCGCTCTCTAAACTGGATAAATTTGAAAATGCTGTTTTCGCATCGCAGTGTGGACCAACAAACCCAGAGCCTTTTCAAAAAAGATGGCATATTTTAGTCATGTGTTGCAGTCATGTGACCAATTAAACTAAGGTTACGGAGGGCATCATACGGCAGTTGTTTTGTTTGCTCTCAATTTTGACAGGCCTATTAAAAGTAAATAAATGGCAGGCAGAAATCGTCTTATGTTTCACCCATGCACAATACAGGAATGTAGCATTTTCGATCTTTTCAGTGTGGATGAACAACTGTTCGGAAACACTTGAAAACGATAGTGTGGATGCGTAGCGTTTTTAGACGAAAACGCTGTTTTTCAAATTTATCCGGATTAGTGTAGAGTCACTAGATAATATCTTATCCATCACAAACTGTTAGCCAATAAGCATAAGTAGGATAATCCTGCTTTCCTCCTCTTCGAAATGGACTTAATCTAGTATTCGGTACAATCAGAAATTAGTAATTGAACCTGTACATTGGTATTGCCTTTTGATAGAAGAACCAGACCAATACCATCTGTCCTTTAAATTACTTCTGTCTTGCGATTACACTTGGATGTTCTCTTTGGAAGCTTAACTACAACCTTGTGAATCTGTCATTTTTGTGGGATCTAAATGCAGGATCTAAATGCAGGATCTTTGCAGTCTGAGAAGGAGTAGCATTTCTTTGCCTACCACTTGTGTCTAGACCTGTGGTCTTTGGCGGCAGACTGATGGGAGACCAGCATGCTGGACCAGCTACTCTTTGCTCAGCTTGAAATCAGTCACGTACTCTGTATTTTCAGATACACACAGATGCATGTGGAAATGGAGGCAGCAGCAGAGCATAAATGAGCAAACAAGCACGCTGTGATTTGTCATCTTAACAGATAATTTGTCTTTTGCAGCTCATTTTGGCTGCATGTGTTACGTAGAGCTGTCAGAGTGTAGCGTGAAATGGCTTTTATTAACTCGTTTAGCATTCTAGCAAGGAAATCCTTCTCAGAGATGGTGAGAGTGAAAGTCTTCTGATAAAGTGGACATATAGATGATGCAGTTTTAAGATTTGTTTAAGCCAAATAGTTTTAACCATCTTATATTCTCGTCACTGCTGGAAATGTAAAAGCTGTGTTCTGCATTGATGCATTGACATTCAAGTCAAAAAGATAAGCCACCTGAGGTTTCTAACGTGGAGAAACTATTGAATTTTTATCCACATTTCCAAAGCCTTTAGAATAAATATTACAGATTCTGATCATACAGACCTCAAGCAAACTAAAGCCTTTACTATGAAGCAGGATTTGGGGCTTGGTGTGTTAACTCCAGGGTTAACTTTAAGTTTTAAGTGGTTCACTTTTTACCATGGTATACTGCCATATTAACTTATGTTGCATGCTTATGCTGGCAATAAAGAGATCAGCTGATATGAAACCACTTGATCAATCAGGTCTTTGGAAAATAGCCTCACTACTCCTGGACGATCCCCCAGATCTGAGCATATCGATAGTAAGAGGGTTGAAAAATCTTTTCTTGATAAGCATCAAAAAGAAGCACAGACGCATAGAAGGAACATTATTATTGCCTTTTTCTCCTGTTGGCTGCAAACAATTAAGAAAAAATAATTAGTGCACAACTATGGTATACTATGTGATCCTAAAATAGGACAATTGTTGACATTACATAAAAAAGCACATTGTTTTTATATTTAGTTTTTATATTTAGTATCTATTTTTTCTCAGACAACACCACAGTTGCAGCTGTAAGTATAACTGCCTTACATGCATCTAAACATTAAATTATTGATTATAAATGCTTATAAACTTTATTAATGTTCTAGCTGTTCCCCAGTCTTAAAGCGGGCACATATTCAGCATCACTGGCTTTTACCTGCATGCAACATCGGAGGCATGTACAGTTTTAGTTTTACCTCCATGGAGCGATATTAGATAGAAAAAGCCTTGAAAATAAAGCTGCTTTTGGCATCAGTTATTGCCTTTGACCAGGTGGAGTTATCAGCTACAAAGTGTGTTTTGAACCACATTTACTGCTAAACGTCAGGATGTTTGCTTCAAACCTGCTTCCCCTGCCACTAATTTTGCTGTAGCAAACATCTTTTTCTCCAGTCTGTCACATTCATAAGTGATTAAATTCTTGATTTTTAATATCTGATGGAAGCACCACCCGTTGTTGTTTTGACAAATATCTCTCATATGGTGGTGTAGTAAGTGTGCTTAGATTTGTTTAACAGGCAAATATTAAGCCTCAAACTTGGCAAAATAAAAGTTCAACAAAATTATTTCCACATCTCAGTTTATCATTTTCTGTTTTCTGTTTAATCAACTAACTAGCTTAAACACTAGTTATCTAGCTAGCTAGTTTACTACTCCTGTGTCTGAAACAGTTTTTTACATGTGATTAGAGGTGCTACTATAATTTCATTTCTTTCATTTCAGGTTCCCTACTCTAGTACTGATTTTCCAGTACAGAAATGTACTGGGACAGAAATATTAATACACACACACACACACACACACACACACACACACACACACACACACACACACACACACACACACACACACACACGCACACACACACACACCTGTCTCTGTCCCCTTCAGGTCCTCCATGTTCTGAAGCACTATCGAGCCTCTAGTGATGAAGCTGCACGATGAGCTGAGAATTTAGAAAAAAGAGCAGTAAAAGCAAGCGAACTGGAGAGGCCCCCTGATGAAAACCCAGTGACAACAGCTGTAATCACAAGAGCGCAGGAATTTGTTTTATCAGCAGAAAAGAAAGCTTCAGCGGGGGAAGTGTGTTTTCAAAATGAGGCTTATATGACGGCTCCTGCCTCTGCGGACGTGAATTTGAATGTGCATGAAGGTGAGAAACACTGCTATGGTACCTGGATGTGGGGTGGGTTGTTGTCTCAGCACATGAGGCCACAGAGGGTGAATCTAATCTCTCCTCTTCACCTCCCTCCAAATCCTCCCATTTTCCTCCTCCTCCTCTTGCTTATAGCAATTTTGGCACAATTGGTGGCAATCATTCACACCCGATGGAACATACTGATGGATGTAGGTTGACCTTTTGGGCTCCCTGGTGATCTCACACACAGGGAAAGAGAAAACAGAGAGAGTGGAGTCTTATCTTCTTTAGTAATACATCTGTAAGGTTTAAATAACTGTGGCTGGCTTTGATGCAGCTATAAAGATTAACTTAAGCAGTAAATAAATGCCTGGTGAGGCCATATAATTTCTCAGTGTGAACCAAATTTCGTAACACTCCATGCAGTAGCTGAACTAACAGTGGACCTGGATGTGAACTAACCCTTCCATCCCCAGAGTGCCACCGCCAGCATGGCTAAAATTGGCCATATTCAAAGAGGATTTGCATCAACAACACATGTAACCTTGAGCAGCACAGAAGCCTTGCCATTCCATTGTCAGACACATGACTCGGGGACACAAGGAAAGGTAGTAGCATACAAATAGGTTAACCTAATTATGAAAGTCACAGCTTTTTTTTTTATAGGTCATATTCTCTACAGCACATAATGACTCATGCTCTCTGAGTCACATACAGACCAACAGCCGATAATGGCGGCTTTCATTCTTTCCAGCCCACCTCTGTCAGTCGCAGGGTATGGGGAAGGAGCTTACAGAGGAGTGCAAAAGGCAGGACTTCATAGCTATGGATTATTCTCACTAATGGTTAAGACCTTCTGCAGTGGCAGCAGCCAAGCGCATTGCAGGGACTCTGCATTTTGTATTCATGAGATGAGCAAAACACAGAATAGAACGTATGAGGGTAAGAATCAGAGAGGGAAAAAGCGAGAAGACTGAGCAGGAAGGACTCACCGCCCCCAATTCATGCTTCAAAGAGCTTCCAATTGTCATAGAAAGTGAAGCTATCAGCCTTGGGTGCGGTACGCAGATCAATGAACCAGTAGATCAGTGAAGAGCTGTCGAATCTTATTTATAAGAAATGGTAGGGTGTAAGTGAAAGTACAGCTTGGGGCTTTGTGCCAATCAATAGTCTCTAAACAAAAGCTGCATTTATGTTTGGGAAATGACGACTTAAATCAAACATACTTGCGCTTGACTTTAAAGGCATTTGAATTTAAGTTTTCCTGTCGGCTTTGATTGCTTCAGGTTATTTACACTGAGGTAGGGGAAGCATTTGAGCATGACTGGCAGAATTAATTCTAGCAATAAAAGTTGTTGTTGCGGAGGAGGTAAGTTCACATTAAATGGAAAAATTTGGTAAAGAGAGAAACGTGAGGCACAAAATGGGCTCCAAGAATCTTTGGGAGGCAACTCATTTGAAAGCTTTGGTACTCCTGTACTTAAAGTTGGGTTTAACAAGTTATTATTTAACTGACTAGGTACATGTCTTAGCTTATCTGACACTTAAAGCACCAACATCAGCCAGTGAAATACAGTTTAAACAGCATCTACATATAATGGAGGAAAGTCACAACAGATGTTTTTCCTGGTCAGAGCAATGTCAGATGCAAATAACTCAACATAAGGTGAGCAAAGACATTACACATGCAAGTGGTGAGTATCCCTTCAGTCAATTTGCATCACATAATGATGATACTGATAAATACATTTTATCTGCAGTTTCCTATAAAAACCATCTGTGTCGTCTAAATAAGTCATGCTTTGTGAATCACCTGCAATCAATCAACAATCTCCAGCAAAAAAGTAATTAACGAAAAATATTCACCAACAACTAACGGCAACCACCTACAGACCACAATAACCAAAAGAAATAAAAACTGCCACCAAAGACAACCACCTACAAATGACCACCTTCCAACAACAAGGATGAAAGAAGAAACAACAAATGTAACTACCTACCAATATTTGCCATCACCCCTCCAAAAAAACCAAACAAACAAATTTCAACCGCCCACAATCACAAAGGACAATGAGCACTGAACCACAAACAATCATCAACAAACAAAAAAATGCACCAGCAAAAATCACTTCTTACAACAGAAAACAAAACAAACAAAACAAAATACTCTCAACAACCTACAAACAAGTGTAAGATTTAGAAGTAAATTCATGTTATCACATATTGATTTATGTAAATTCACTAAAAAAAACGTTTACTTAGCTATTTGCATTTTGTGTATGTGCATGTGTGTGTGTTTACATAATTATTTATATTTAAATGTTAGCATGCTCATCTTTGAAGCAGTTACCTTGTTCTAATTTGACAAAAAAAAAAAACCCAAAACAAATAAAAACAAGAACATAATTACAGTGTGTATGTGTAAAATGACAATAAACCTTCCGGTTTCTGATTGGTTAATTTAGTCACATGTGAACCAGAACAAGGAAGTTGTGTGGAGAGGCTGAGAAAGTCCCAAACTTGCTGTGTTTTTTTTCTTGCTAACAGAGATCCAGTAAAAAAAACAATCCCCACATTACACAACCAATGGCAACCAGCAGAGGACCCTTCACATGGAGCAGCACTGACCAAATAAATGTGAGTACTCAAAAGCCTCTGCCAGTGCATTTTGCACCATGACTGAGTTAGTGTGACTATTATCATGTGGCATAGTTGTGTGTTAGCTTTCTAGAAATGTAAAGTCTTTTTTTGTAGTAAACCACCGACCACTGTTTTATATTCTGATAAACCTCCATTTCAAATACTTAAACCACGGGTCTCATATGTAACACTGTCAGTTTTGATCATAAGTACTGTATGACTAGGGTAACCAACCGCCCTCTTTTTTTGTACTTGCTGACTTGTAAAAGCCTAAAAAAAGACATTTTTTATTTCACCATTCATTAACCGCACAGAGAACACTTTAAACAAACAGTATTATTAAAGTTCTTCATGACTGGGCCGAGTGTCCTCTTTACATATGGTCACCCTATGTATGACTTTAAAAAACCCTACACAGTTTCCTTGCAGTTTTTTTGCCCCTCTTTGTTTCCTGCAGCAGTTACAGTTTTGCTTGGTTTGTCAACCTGCTAACCCACAGATAAAAATTACTACTGGGTTTCAATTTCCTCTTCATGCTTCCTTATCTCATCTTTAAAAAGTTATCTTTCTCCTACATCAACACCAACACAGCCATCTGCATATTTTTTTTCTCTAAATGCCTGGTAAAAGTTAAATAACTGCCCCTCCTTGAAGGACAGCCTTAGATTCCACGGGTGGTGTTGCCCTAGAGCCTTTAGATGAGAATCTGCAGGTTGATGAGAAAACAGGCTCCAGCGCTGTGCAAAGTAAATGAATTTCGCCCCAGCAAATGTCATGTGTGTGAGATCAGAGAGGGGGCCAACCAGGTTGAAAGCTAAATATATGTGTGTTTATTATGGGGTGGAGGTTGGTGGAAAGAAAATGGTATTTATCATAAAACGCCAGGACTGTTTCCTTCTTGTGGCAGAGAATAATCCTGCCCCGAGCTGCAACTGACAAACAACACGCAGCAGAACACACAGAGTCATGTACTGCTTCACTCTTTCTCACACACACACACACACACACACACACACACACACACACACACACACACACACACACACACA